TAAAAGATGAAAGATATATTGTAAGAATAGAATACTGCAAAACATTAAACTTTCATTGGTAATTACTCAACAAACGAAGATAAAATGAAGGTTTTAGAAAATGGAATGGGAATATGAAAATCGAACTGTACCTTTTTTTTTTTTGGTAAACCGAAATGCACCCTTTAAAATTAAGGATGTTTTGGTTCAAGAGCAGATATAATGTTTGAGAAGCGAAAATGTTTAAGGAAATATTGTATTTGTTTAGAGTGACCGTTGAGATTCAATTCAATCCAAAAGACTCTATTTGAATTTTAAAAATATGAAATAATGTTATTGTTTATAGAGCGAGCATTTAAATTCTATTCAATCCAAAAAAAATCTATTTTTATTTTTAAAAAAATCTATTTAATTTGATTGTTTAGACCTCTATTTTTAAATTCGAAATCCCCTTGTATTAGATAAATTAGTTGGTTGAACTTGCAATAATTAATATGTTAATGATTTATTTTCTTTGTTAAACACACTAATAATTAATTAATAGTTTTTTTATAATAAAAGTCAACGCAATAATCAATAGAATAATACATTAAGCTGGTACAATATTTTAATGTTTATAGGAATCTTAATTTACCATTAAAGATTAAGACTCTTCATATTTTCCATAACTCTTAAGTCCTAAATATTTATGGAACACTATGATGTTCAATTATGACGTTTCAAGTGGTTTGTTTATTAGCCTTGTCCATTCCAATGCACAAAGCAATAAATTGTTTTGATGATTCACATTTTCCTAAATCCCTATTAATGCCAAAAGACCTGTATAATTACTTGATGGTCTTAGGAATACTAAAAGACAATTGGGAACACATGCACCGCGTTTCCTTTTTCGACAATTACAAAAATAACGATGCAACAATTCCATTCACTGCTATAAGCAATCCGTTCGTTAGTGTGACTTTTAAATTCCCAAAGCTATGAAAAAAGAAGAAGGAAGAAACAACAAAATAAACTTTATTGACAATTGCTAAAAAAAAAAAAAACCAACAAATAAATAAACGAAAAAAAAGACAATATATTCCAATAACTTTTCACATACTAACATCATCAACCGTCAAAATTGTAAAATTTCTTTAAATAATTATATCCAACATTAAAATTTATTTTGTTTTATATTTCTTGAAATAATCAATTTTTATTGGTTACAGAAAATAAGAACCCTAAACACAACACAATCACGAAACCCTGTCTAACAAAATGTTAAATTCATATATAAGATGTAATCGTGAAGTTTCTCCATCAGTTACATGTTCCCTTTTAGCAGCAAAACGCATCCATGTACAACACGAAGACCCAAAGCCTCAAGAACTCATATATTTTTTGTAGTGGGGACAAAAGAAGACACAAAACCATCTTAATTGCAATTCACCGAAGGTGTTGAGAAAGACCAAGAGATAAGCCACAATTTCGCGTTCATTGCAGATTTGACTATAAACGCACTGGATTCATATTCAAAACGTATGTGTTCTTCAAGATGTTACTCTAAAAGATAACCCTACAAAAACATGTCATAAAAAACTGTATAACACCACGAAAACTCAATAATGCAACACACAAACAATTTCATAAACCCTATTGAATTAATGCAAGCATAAATAAATTGAACCCTTTATAGCAGCTCCCTCGAACAACATGAAAGACGTTGAATATGTAAATAATCATTCACAGTAGCACGAAACCTTCCGCCCTATAAAACGAAGAAATGAGAATTAGTATAATAAAATGAAAATGATTATGTTGAAACTAAATCTTTGAATATGTTAATAAAGAAACCGTAAATTATACAAATAGAACAACCCATACAAAAATGAACAAAAAAAAAAACGTAAGCAAGCCAAAAAAAAGATGTGGTTCATATTCAAACGTACGTGTTCTTCAACATTGATTTAGCTCCAAAAGATAACCCTACAAAAATATGTAATAAAAAATACGTCATCAGAACAACGTTTGTTAATAAAGAAACCGAAAATGATATCAATAGAACAACCCCTACACACACCAACGCAGAAAAAAAGCAGGCAATCCAAAAAGAAAAAGAAACAACACTTCCCTCTTTATACAAACATTCAATGCGTTAATTTGGTGAAACACCATTTGATGGAATAAATGTCTTTCTTGAACACAGCAAAATTAATAAGCCCAACATTTTCCAAGGTAGGAGGTAGTGGGGTTTTGTTGCATTCAAAATCTGAACCATAATAAAAGCTGCACTATTTTCACGAAAATGAATTAATAATAATTTTAATTTAAAATAATTCAAAATATTTCTAAAAGAGGAAAATATTTAAATTTAAGTAGTGTGAACACAAACCTCAGATTCAAGGAGAATGCGACACATCATCAAAGTTTCCAATAAACAGTTTTACTTTAGAATAATATAGATAGATGCGTGACTCGTGAGTGGCTATAATATTGATTCCTTTCCCAAACTTTGATTTCTCACACGCAAAATAAATGTGACAAGAAGTCAAGCAATAAGCATCTTCGGTGAAAAGTGATGCGCTTAATAACGAAAGTGTGCTTGTCAACAATTGTAGAAAATTTGAGACTAAAGTGTTGGGGGCCAAGACTCTCCATCAGTCACTATAGTAACCAGCATTTAAAAAAGAAAAATATTAAATAGTCACAATTCTTTTTATTGGAATTTATTAAAATGAATTATTATTGTTATTATTATAATTATAGGGAGAATTATATTTATAAATTTGTTGTCTACAAACTCTTACAAATTACATTATGTACTCCCGGAAGTACACTAGATTACACTATATACTTCCGGGAGTACATAATATAATTTGTAAAAATTTGTAAAACGATTTTTCCCCTTATAATTGTTGTTGTTTCTTGGTTAAACAGATAAATTTATTATTTTACTTTTTCAATAACTATGCTTGAATTTTAATAAATTATTATTAAATTCTAGCAAATTATTTTATCAGTATGACATTAGGAAAATCCAAAAAAAAAAAGTTTTAAACAGTGACCCCTAAAAAAAGTGTTAACCCAATGAACAAGGTAGGCAGAGAGAGTCCATTAGACCTTGTTCAACCATTTGATTGATTTGAGATTTGAGACTAGACTTTAAGGACGTAAATGTAATTTAAACAATGTTAAGTTGTTAATCCATTAATTTAAATGCGATATTTATAAGGGTTTTATTACTCTCATTCAACATAAGATAGATATCTTATGTTGTAGAGAGAAAATAGGTGGGTCCCACCATTACAAAAAAAGAAAAAAAAAGAAAAAGGTGGGGCACGAAAATCGAAGAGAGAGAAAATGAGAGATGATATCTCATGTCGAAGGAGAGTAATATTTCCCTATTTATAAGCAGGAATTAATGTTGTTAGCCTATTATGCTCAATTTTAATTATCCTTATTCAATATAGATGAAAAAGGAAAAAAAATCATTTTTATTATTTTCTTTGTTTCCCTATGTTCACTTAGGCTGGCTATTGGAGACCATATGCTAGGAGGTGAAAAAAAAAATTCTAAGAAAATGAAGTGAGAAAATTTATTTGTCTATGTTTAATAGGATAAAAAGCAAAAGTAAGCCTGGGAAAAAAATCTCCCATCATTTATTTTTCTTCATAAAATTGTCATGGAAGATTTCCATTAATGGGGTGGAAAAAAAAAATTCTGATACGATGGAAAAATGATTATATAATATTAGTAAAATTAATCCAATATTTTCAGAAAAATTTTGGCTTATCAAATACTTTTTTGTAATTTATCCGAAACAAAAAAAATTCCACCATATTCCTAAAAATTATTTTTTTTCCTATAAAAAAAATTTTCCCTTTATTTCGGCATTTGAAGACTTGATAACTATGAATAAAAGTTCAATAATATAAATCTCTAAAAATTAAAATCTTAAATAGATAATTGTGAAAAATATAAAAATATATTTTTAATTGTTTTATGTTACTGCATACTTTTTATTTGTTTATTTCAAAAATCTGTTTTAAAATATTGAAATGTGAAATGATACATGACTCTGGATTTGCGGGAAAAAGCTCAAATAAACGTATTAAATGGTTCACTTCAGACTTAAAGTTGAAACAAGAGAGGAATATTGTACATACATATTGTCAATAAAGAGAAGGTAGCAGCAAGATTCCACACCTCAGCTCAATTGCTACCCCGACAATAAGTCATTATTACTTTGACCATCGTTGCGTGTTACTTTCGCGTCAATAAGTCATTCTTAAAGTTCAAACAAGAAGCTTCGGTGAAATATGCTGTGATATAGCTGGACTCCGCGACTGAGCTATGTCCATTGTTGCACGTCAATATATACGACGCTTATGATAGCATGGGCGAATTATGATTTACATATTTTAAATTTTAGTTTTGTATATAAATCAAGTTTCATCCATAAATAATATATTTTAGGAAATACTATTACAATAAAAGATAAAGTTATTTTCAACAAAAAAAAAATGTCATTTTGGAATTTAAGAAAAAATATGTATTTTAAAAATTTTACTTTACTCTTATATTATAAATTTTATAAAATATCCCATATTTTTTTAAATCACAAAACGATATTGTTTTAGAATTGCAATAAATAACTTTATCTTCAGAGAAATATTAATCCATATATTTTAATATGCAAAAAAACAAATTAATTAATATTTTTCGTGTAAAAAAAAGAAAAAATTATTTCCTACAACCTAAAAATGACACCATTTTTGGGTTTTGAAAAAAAAATACTGGATATTATAATAAAATTCATTAGATAATTAAGAGGAAAATAAATTATGTATTTTTTTTCTAAACTCCAAGATAACTTCAATTTAGATTATTAGGGATAACTTTATATCAGTTACAAGAGAAATATTTTTCCCAAATATAAATAACAAAAACACGTCAATCACTAAACTCATACTTATCATTTGAGTCCTTTACGATTTGATTTTGAACAAAAAATCTATAGAATTCTTTTATACCAACCCTAACTATCTCGGTAAAGCGACTTGATCCCAGCTATATGACATTTTTGCTTCCTATTTCTAAATTATTGTTTCAAGTTCCAACTTCCAACCATTATATGCTGTGAACAACTGAAATTTAAAATTTTTTTACAAAAAATAGCCCATTTGTTAATGGATCATGAATTACAAAACTCGGACGTTAGGAGCCTAAAACTTTGACGTTTGATTATTCACCTAGCATATGAACCAAAGTTAATAGTTTGATTCCTTGAAAATCCTATAGTGTATTTTCAGTTCGCAAAACTTTCATGTACTGGCACTGTAAAGCGGCGCTGCCAGAGAGTTTATTTGGCCATTATTTCTAGAAACTTGTGAGGGTATCGTCTGTAAATGGGAACGGATATGGCAAGCATACCAACAAGCCTAAGAGCAAAACTGTTACTCCAATAGCAACATACTTCCGATCAGGATCAGTTATTTCCTCAGAAAGAGGAGCAATTGGACCTCTTTGCAAGAAGAATAGGAGAACTACCCAGTAGAATGCTACATCATTAAGCAGTGATGAGAGTCCAAGCAACACAATTGAAACTCCTGTGAAGCGAAATGAAGCCTGTCAAATAGACTTAAGTCAGTATCTTCACATGAAGGGAAATAAAGGAAGGAAATTATGTGATTAGCCATATTAATTAAGACATTGTCAGACCAAGTTTCACTCGTAAATGTTTTCTTTTTCAAAAATATTACCATTTTCATACCTTTCTTCCCCATATGGCAAAAGAAATTCTCCCTCCATCAAGCTCTCCGGCGGGAATGCTGTTAATGGCATTGATAAGGAGTCCTGCCCAAGCCCAAATCACAAGAGGATTGACAGAAATTGCAGTTCCTTCCTTGAGAACGTTACCAAGAAGCAGCTTTGCTAAAAAAAAGTAAATTAAAAAGTTACTATATATTGATCTTCGAAATTAATGAAGCAGCAAATAGAAATATTCAGTGATATATCACGCATTCATGGAAAACATTTAATTTGTTAATATAGATGACGACAAAAAAAATCTACATTTGAAATTATTATATGATAAAACCCACAAATGAATGCACGCACAATTCTATTTAAATATCTGTACGCTTGTTTAAAGCGTATAGCTTACCAATACCGCCAGCAAGAAATGACTCGTGAAACACAGAAGCATCAACAACAACACCAATACCATCACTGGGAGGTAAGACAAAACCTAGAAGCAGAAGCATAAGACCCAAGGAAAAACCAGCTATTGGTCCTGCAGCTGCAACCTTGAGTAGATCTTCACGATTGGATACTATGTTTCTTATCCTTGTAATAGCACCAAAAGAGCCTATCTGCCACCAAATTACTCATCAGAATTCCTGTTTCTTCTTGCAGTGAGATGTTATAAATTGTACACATCAACAACTGGAAATTTGGCCAATACCCAAATTGTACATATCGCCAAATTGTCGATTTGAATCTTATCCATAAAATATTGAAGTAGATAGCATGAAAAACACACAAAAAAGGCATACTTCCATTCCTAATGTACCACCATGTTGACTACTCCAGAAGAATTTAGATGATTGCCATTTTTAGGAGACCCATGATAGTCATGCAATTCTGAAGCTGAGACTTAACTTCGAAGGAAAGCAACACAAGCAATTCCGAGATGATAACCTCAAGCTACTTAATATAAAACCAATCACCAGTTATATTGTGCATGACAAACATAGATGAATTGCTTCCAGTTGACATGCATCAACAAAGATAAAGAATTAATCAATAATAAATGAATTAAAGCTCTAAGCAAGTATGCATCCTCTGAATAATTTAGGTAATACGTACAAGATGGAAAGCATGATGTATTCGATTAATATTCTGCCAGTTAATTAAAGAAAGAAAGAAGAAAAATATTTTTTTAAATGTACTTGAAGATAAAGATTCTATCATATAACCTGCCAGCTAGGAACAAAGTATGGAACCCCAAGCTTAACTCCAATGTTTTTGGCAACTACAAAGTGACCAAGTTCATGTATCCCCAAAACAAGTGCAGTAACAAGGGCTCCAGGTAGGCCATCCTTTAACAAGTTCAGATTGTCAAAAGTTGATCTGAAACATTAATAACATTATTTGGTGAAACATCAAAAGACAAAGCTAACTTATGGAAATCATCTCCTCTGTAGAATAATTTTTCATAGACATTTCAGTATATAAATATCTTTAAATGGTAATTAAGTACTACAGCTTACACACTAATCCAACTTTATGCAGTAATTAGCACCTAAAATATATGCACAATGCTAAACTTACACTATATTGTTATAGGTACATGACAAAATATCAGTCAACCAGAGAAGTGATGACGAGGATAAAGATTCATTCCTATGAAAGGTGAAGAATTCAACAATAGCTGAAGTATTTATTGAGACCATCCTATTAAGGAAACTTACAGACTACAATATCAACATTTTTGTACCCGAACAATGTATTTGTGAAGACAGTCCTGAACATGTTACTTGAAGGAAGGAGTGTGGTAAGCTAGATTAGTATAGAAAACAAAATTGCATGAAACAGTTGTGTGGGACACTACACTTTGGCCTAAGAGATAACAGAGTATGAAGTGACAAATAAAGGCATAAGAAAAATGCTCACAATAAATTGGATTGTAAAGCAGGAACATTGCGAATCAATAAGGTAAACACTGTGACCAGTCCAAAAGCTCCAGCAGCAAACCACTCAGGTACAGCTGCAAAGATAAATAACACCATAATTACAAATCATAAGCTTTACTATGAAAAAAAAAAAAAATCAGCACTTTTTTATCCACAATTTTGCAAGACCTAAACAAGTACCAGTTGTCTCCGGTTGTAAGGTTGTTCTTGGAACCACGACGGCCACTGGCTTATCATCCTCAGGGTTGACTAGAAGGAAAAGCTTGTATTCATCTCCAAATTTATCCTATCATGAAATTTACGTGGAAATCTGGTTCAGACATTGATTTTAAATTGGAATCGCTCACAAATCCACTTGAGCAACAAAATGAAAATATGACATACTTTCATTCTCTTAGATATCTTATCATAACTTTTAGCAGCTTGCCCTCGCAGGTTTCCTTTGAACAACACTCCACCCTAGCAGAACAGCAGGACCTAATCTTAATACAACAAGACCTTTGTGCATATGCAAAAAAGAAATGTAGGAAAGATATCCACACACCTCGTAAGGATCTTGACTTGTTACGAAAAAAGTATCAAAGCCAAAAACTTGGTTCTTAAGAATTTCGATAGTTTCCTTCGGAATTTTTATTGCATCATCCAGTTGCTGAGGCTGTTTAGAACATATAAAGAACAGAAACATAGAAGAGGAATAAAAAAGGAGAATGCCTCTTCTAAAGTAGGAAATATTGAGCATAAAATGTAATCACCTTCACACCTGGCAGAGGAGATCCACTGGCAACTTCTATGCTATCCACATTCTGTTTTGATCACAAGCCCACAGAATAAGAGAAAAGAAAAATAAGGCATAATTTCTTCTAACTCCAAAGGACACAATTTCCTCTTTCATTTTCATTTTTTTCTCTTTTTGCTAACTCAAACTAAAACAGAGTTCATGGTGGAAAGGTTAGAGTTTTGGGAAATGATGATTTGTTCTGGAGATTATCACAATCAATTAGACTATCAGCCTGATGATTTAAATACTAAGTGGTGAGCAACAACTAACGTAATCAGAGTAACAAAACTAGGTCCCATTTTAAGGATTTAGTTTAAACAGATTACATAGACATGGACTTATTAGGGACACATAGTCATGAACGGTTTTGATATACAAAGAGTGAATAGGAGCTTTTATGGTCAAGCAGTTTACCTGCTCTGCCTACTGATTCACAAACTATTGAAAGAAGTACACTTAATTTGAATTAAAAAAAAAAAAAAAAAAAATCTCTTTCACACATTATGAGCAAATAAAGGAATGAATTTAATTTAATAAAATAACTTCTTGAGTACTTCATGTTCATGACTAGCAAGCCTTCTAGCCGTGTTTCAATAAGATATTGTAAAATGGCAACCAAAAAATTGATTTAAACAAACATTGGCAACAACATAGCTTTTTCTGACCAAATTTAAAAAACAACAGCTAAACAAGTCAAACATTACCTGCACATCATTTTGATCCTTATTTTCATCACCTAACTTATTTAGTTGTTCTGCATCTACAGGCGGAGGGATGCTTTGCTCAAAGGAATCTTCCAAAGATTGTGTCTCTCCATTTTCATGTGCTTCATTCTCCTAGGTAAATTTAAAAATTGTACATTGTAAAGGGAAAAGTACGAAAAAGTTAAGGTCAACAACATGTAGAGCTGACAACCATTCTTTCAACAATGTGTTTGGGTGCATGTAAGTCCATGACTAGGCCAATTGGCTCGGTTAACAAAGATAACCACCATGCAATGAATTATGAACAATTTTTGCAAACTTCAATTTAAGTCAAAAGAATCCTCAGCATATCAAACTTCAATTTGAGCAGCTTAATGTCAGTGAAAGATAAAAAAGAAGTTGGAACAGATATAGAATCAAACTGAAAGTACCTCCTTGTTGTTACCGTCAGGCTCCGAATGTTGTTCAGTAGTACTACAAGCAATCCCTCTCCTCCTGGTTGATCTTAATCAGTTCGAAACCACATCGGCATTTGAAGCTAAATTAGTAAAAAAAAAAAAAAAAAAATTGGAATTCCCTAACAACGAAAAGAAACTCGTACTTTGGATTCCTGATCAATTTGAAGGCACTCAAACGACAACGAGAATGGCGAAAACCGTTGGAGGGCTGAAAACGAAGATGGAATTCGAAGCAAGAGGTGCAGTGCGATAGAGGAACGACGAGATTCCCGCGAATTACTGAAGGCGCTGCTGCTGACGAGAAATTCATGGTTCTTTTTGGAGAGAGTTTTGCCTCTAATTGAGATGAAACCCTAGCGCCATTCAAATGACTGTGAGATTGAAGAAAGAAGAGAGAGCAACTACCACTAGCAGCCTAAGCGAACCAATTATCCGTTTTTTTTTTTTTTTTTTTTTTTTTTTGCTTAAAAACCCGCGCAAAGATATTTTCTGCTGTTTCTAGGACAAATACAGAAGGGGGCGATGTTTCGAGGGCCAATCAGAGTTCGACACCTAAGCGGATTAAACGACTAGATAGATTTAGCTTTTCAAAATTTAGAAGTGTAGATCACAGCTATTTTTTTTGTTTTCGGTATGTGTCAATACCAGAAAATTAAGTTAATTTTTTTACTAATTTTTTTGTCTAAATGTTAACTTAATTTGAGAATGTACGAAATTGTAAATGCATTATCAAAAGTGTAAATTTAAGAATGCTTCAAAAGTTATTTCACTTTGTTACAATTTGTTATGTGTAAATTACCGGGAAAAGAAATTCATAGCAGTACCCGTTTCTTATTTTTATACCAGTTCATTCCCAATATATACCATGCATTTTCATTTAAATGGTTTGTAACGACAGCCCTACCAGTCAATATTGTTTTTATTTGGTAAAATTTAGACTGTGAAACAATCTTCCCTTGTTCAGATTCTAATTCCACTCTATCAAAGGGTTGGGAAAAAAAAAAGGAAAGAAAGAAAAGAAAGCAGATTCTAATTGATTTGAATGAGAAATAACAGAATAAGAACAGTTTTTTTCATTTAATTTGCTAGGGAATTATCTTGTTTACACATTCATTTCGGATACCATGTTAAACTATGTTGTTTCATGAACAATAAGTTGCTCCTAATCACCCTGGCTTACACATACAAGAGCCAACAGATTCATTCACATATCATGTGGCTTTTCATCCCATCTACTCAAGCGCCTTCGTCTCCTGCCACTTTGGGGAGTTTCACTCTGCCTAATCAGCCTCTCTATATGTTCAGGTAATGGTGGAAGTGGAAAGCGGATAAGTTCCACTTCATCATCACTACCACCAATCCATCCATAGCAAGGTTTACGCCTACGGCATGGAAGATTCTCAGGTGCTTCTGAGGTATCAATCATATGAGTCCCGACAAACGTGCTATAATTGCTTCCTTCAACATTATCGGCAGGTTTGAGCTCATTTTTAGACTCCACCCTACTGCCTTGTCCTCGTCCTCCTCTATCAGCTGACACAGCCGAATCCTTAACATCTGGGAACAAAGCATACAAAGTTTTGACACTAACAAAAGAACAATGAGCTTTTCTTTGCAGTTTTGAAAAAAGCAGACATTGTTTTCTCAATGTGTGGAGTCAAGCAGCAAATGTATCTTGAATCAAATAGTAATGGAAAATTAGACATTGTTTAGAAAATAACTCTCTGCATGCCATTTCTTTTATTATAACAACTCCCTTCCATACAAATATAAATTCAAATAATAATTGAATTTGTAAATTGGTACTTGAATCCAAAATCCCAGAGGACTCAAGATTCTCACTTCCACTATATTGCTTCTCACTCTTCCGTGCACTTGCTGAAATTTGTGTCATCAATTGCAGTTCTAAAGAAGGGATACCAAACTTGGTTTAGGAACTAAAGTTCAGGAAGTTGCTAAGCCTGCTATCGCTGAAGAGTAATATGAATATATTTCAAATGGAATGAACTGATGGAAGATGGAATTAAATTACCAGTTTCTAGATTGCCAAGGGAAGCTTGATCAATGGTTTGAGGGGCAGGGTCCAAACCATCACTAGTATGCATTTCAGAGTCTTGAGCCACCAAGCTAGAGGAACCAACTTCAGGAATCCCAGTTATCTGCAATGAAGAGTCTTGAGCCACCCGGTAAGAGGAGCTAGCTTCACTAATCCCATCACCATCATTTCTAGCATTATCCTGGAAAGGATCCTCCTTTATCTTATTTAAAGGAGGGGAAAAGTATATATTAGCCTGAGTCACAAAAGCACCATGAGTGTAAAGTCTAGGCTGACTTAGTGTCTAATATGCTTATTGCTTTCCAAGTGAAATCTTTCACAATAGTCATTTAATTGTTCATCCATAATTCAATTGACATTTCATGATTATTGTGAAAGATTTCACTTGGTTACACAGCATGAAGGATTATTGTGAAGGGAGGATACAGTATACACAACCAACAGAAACAGGGAAGAAGAGATTACAGTCAAAGTTCTATGGCTAGAGAAAGTAGAATTTCCCCGTTAATATTACATATTCGAGAAACTCCCCTTATGAGTTATATAACTGCTAGTGAATTATAGCAGCAAATTATATTACCTAAATTCAGAGTCTCAAATAGAGTCATAAAACCGATGAGTTTGTAAAATATATAGTTTCTTACCAAGGGATGAAACGGGAGGTGCCTACGAAAGATCAGATTCCCATCTTTCTTATACCCCATACATACCTCCCATAAAAATATATTTTTCTAAGATACCATCTTACACATTAAGCATAAAACAATAATAGGGTATAAATATGATATCCTTCAGATATTTCTGCAAGTTTTAAATTTCAGAATGAATAGGAGGAACAAACATAAAAAATATTTCCAAAAAAATGCATGTTATTAGTCCCCAACCAGGACAAAAATAAAAAGAGCATCTTCCAAGTGCGCAATCTTCTGAGGCATGTAACACCAGGAACCCAATTGAAGGAAACTTCATCATAAACAATCCTAAATCCAAAGGGCATTTCTCTCTGTTGTGTGTGACAACACAGGAGGAAGACTAGACAGTGTTGATGGCTGAGAAAACTAAGGAAAACCATAATACATATTTTTCTCTCTGCACCTCCGAGAGAATAGTGACCAGCAAGCTTTGTAATGAAGTAGAATACAAAATAACTAAACACTAAAAGAAAGAAAATGTATAAACAGAACCAAATTAAAAAAATAATGAACAGAAGAGGAAAATGGAAACAAATTAACTCTTGCTAAATGTTAACCTTCTCATCTCCAGAACTTTGTTTGCCCAGTAAGGTTTCGATTAGGAGCTTGTAAGAGGCCTCTTCAATAAAGATCCATCCTTGAGTTCCTTCATAAACCTAGAGAAACCCCAGATTAAGGGTAAACCAAAACGAAGAAAAATTAGCACTTCTCTTGTAATTATTTGGATAAGAGAAGACCAACCTCTAGGAGCTCCCCAACCGTTTCTTGAACTAGTCGTTCATCAAAACCAAATGGACGCATTGCGTCCAGGGCTGCATCCATGCGCGAGTTACCAGCCATGTTGTTCTACAGACAAAAGGAAATACCATTAAGGAAGGGAAAATGTCACAAAGTTGCCCCAGAAATTGAGTTTGAGGATGAAAAACAAAGGAAACTGAGAAACACGTTAAAAAACGAAACTTTGCAAACATGGTGGGAGAAAATGAAGGGAAAAAAAAAGTTAAACAGAAGTCAAAACACAGATAGGAAATGGCAAAAAAAAAAAAAATCCAGCAAATGTGAAAATGAAAGTTGAGAGGGTGAGAAAATAGGGGTGAAGGAGTGAAATGAAAGACCTTTTTGTGTTGACGTCGTCTTGGCGCCATTCCCGGGCTTTTTTCTTTCAGCAGAAGGAAATTGAAAAAGCCCTTCTTCTTCTTTCCCCTTGTTGAGTTTCTGTTGAAACGATTGGAGTAGAGAGAAGAAAAGAAAGAAAGAAAAAAAAAACAGGGGCTATTTGCAAAGGCGGAATGAATTCATTGCGAGATGCCTTGTCTTTGATGCTTCTTACTCTGACAGTGTTATAGAGTGACTCTGTAACAAAGTAGAAATGAGGACTAATATGCAATGAAAATTGTATGCTTCACCATGCCATCTTTTTGTTTTGCCCTCTAATCGTCACAAAAATAAGACTAAAGTGAGCTTAAGTTCTGTTTGGAAGGAGATACTGAATTTTGAAAAAGTAAAATAATTAGTAGGGTATGATGTTTTGTTATAGGAAATAAAAAAAATTTGTTACAGTACATATATAAAAAATAATTTTTATATTTTTATAATAAATACAGATAAATTATTTATATTTATTTTCAAAATGACGTTATTTTAAGTTGAAAGATTAAAAAATTATAATGATAAAAATTATTATAATTTTAAAATAAATTATAATTATAAAAATATTTTGATTTCTGTCTTAAAATGGCGTTATTTTAATATCAATGTAAATAACTTGTCTACATTTACAGCAGAAAAAGCAAACTCATAAAAAAATATGCAAGACTCATACGAGACAATGTAAAAAAAAAAAAAGAATTGTTATAAAAAAAAATTATGGGTCTTATATAATTTTATAAATACATAAAAAATAAAATTATCTCTTATAAAATAAGAGACATTAAACTATAACTATTACGTGTAAAATTATTACTAAAATGTGAGTTGGTATTGTTGGTGATGGGTGGGGGCAAAGTTGCAAGTTGCCTGGCATCCACTAGATCATGGCTGGATAAAATTAAATACAGATGGTGCAGCCAAAGGATCTTCAGGAGTAGCTGTATGTGGGGGTTTATATAGAGGATCAGATGGTCAATGGCTGGGGGGGTTTTACTTATCGTGTGGGCATTGCATTAGCTTTTACAGCGGAGTTATGGGGTATTCTGAAAGGTTTGAAATTTGCTTGGAATAAAGGGTTTAGGAAACTTATAATTGAAAGTGACTCCACTTCGATGATCAAGTTGCTTAACAATAAAGGTAATAATGTCTGAAAGTCTCATATTGCTACTCGCATTCGGACTTCGTTGAATAAAGAATGGTATCTCAAAATTTAACACATCCACCGTGAAGAAAATCTGTGTGCTGATTGGCTTGCCAACCATTTGATTTGTTTCATCCAGAACTCTTTGTATACGGAGTTTAGTCATGTTCCTCCTGAGCTTAGTTGTTTATTTTTTACTGATATTTGTGTTGTTTCTAGCATTAAGAATGTTTACATTGTTTAGTTATTTTTTGGGTTGTTAAGCCCTTTCTTTCACCAAAAAAAAAGATATCATGACTTTAAAAAAAGAGGAGTGTTACAATTTAAAAGTTTTATAACTTATTATAATTTATTTTTTTATCATTTAATTCAATGATTATGATTTATTAAAAATTAATAATTAATAATAAATATGATCCGATAAATTATAATCATTGGATTGATAGATAAAAATAGGTTGTAAAATTTTTAAATTATAAAAATAATGGTCCTCTTAAAAAAATAAATTTAACTGTTTTTTAAAATTTTGTTTTTTTAAAAGTTGCATGTAAACTTTTGCTTAAATAAAAAGTACTCCATTGTACGTGGAGACATATATCAAGTGCATTATTTTCAGGTTGAGATTCAAATGATTGGCAATAGCATTAAAGAAATTCACAATGCTATTATTTCTAAGCAAAATCAATTGCATTCCCCTTTGTACATGGAGACATATATCAAGTGACATCCGCCTCAAATAGGAGTAATTAAACTTAACACAGATGGAGCATCAAGAGGTAATCCTGGCCCTGCAGCATGTGGGGGAGTGATTAGAGACAGTAATGATAATTGGTTAGTTGGTTTTGCAAATAAGGTGGGGTTTTGTTCGGCCCTAATAGCTGAATTATGGGGAATCCTTAGTGGATTAGAACTGGCGTGAATTAGAGGGTGGAGAAATGTGATTCTGGAAAGTGACTCTTCTAATGTTGTCATTATGCTCACTGGTAAGGGTGATGCTGCTCATGAGTCTCACATGGTGACCCGTATACGAGCATGGTTAAATAGAAATTGGGAGGTTTCTCTGATTCACATCTACAGGAATGCTAATTGTTGTGCAGATTGGCTTGCGAACCTACCTCTTGATCATCCAGATATGTCTGATAGATCCTATTTTTCTTCTCCCCCTTCGAGAATTAATTTTTTATTTCAGGCTGATTTAGCGCAGATTTCTAAGCCTCGTTGTATTATTTTTTCTTAGTGCTTTCTTTGAGATTTTTACCCTTTTTATTACAAAAAAAAAAAGTACTCCATTTGAAAGTAGAAGTAGAAAGGAAGGAACTTGGGAGTAGGGTTGGCTCGCAACCCGTCCTAAATGAGTCGGATTGGGTTGGCCTAAATGAGCTGCCAACCCGATACAACCCTAACCCAAACGAGCCAGCCCTCGGGTTAAACGGGCCAGCTCGCGGGTTGAGTATTTTTTTTAAATTAAAAAAAATAAAACGTTTGGTTTGAGCGTTTTAACGCTGAAGACCAGAATCCTTTTCCAGCATCAGGGCGCTAACACGTTCTGGATGGACGTTTTAGCGCTCCAGACCAGCATCTTTTGGCTTCTTTCTGTAGCAGGGCGCTAAAACGTTCTGGATGAACGTTTTAGCGCTCAGCACTTAGAATTTTTTCTCTTCTTCAGAATCTTCTTCCTTCTCCTAGAGCCAACCCGCGAGCTTTTTTCCGAGCCAACTCGCGAGCTGATTATCGAGCCAACCCGCGAGCCAACCCTAACCCGGCTCGGGTTGGGTTGGGTTGGATTTTCTGGCTCGTTTATTTTTTCGAGCCAACCCTAACCCGACCCGATTTTTACGGGTTCAATGCGGGTTGGGCCGGGTCGAGCCGGGTTGGCCCGTTTTGCCAACCCTACTTGGGAGGGGGGTTTATAAAAAAAAAAAAAAAAGGAACTTCGAGGGGTAGAGTATGGATTATATAATTTTTTATCTTTCCCAAATCCAGCGAAAAATAAAGTGAAAGATGGTGAGAGAAGATTTTTTTTATATAAATTCATTTATTTTATGAAGTATTACTATTATTATGTTATTAAATTAAAAATATTTTTTACTTTTTTGGATATATAATACAAAAAAATGATAATCCGATTTTTTTGTATGTTTATTCTTAAAATATTGTTAACTGTGCTATTTAATCAGTCTATGTTATTTACCAAAATAAAATCTGTAAGTTTGAAAAAAAGCTTAAAAAAAAGTTTGCTAATAAAATAGCATAATCCAAACTTGCAAACTTATATTTAATTCACTTGTTCATTGGCGTTTGCGCTGATGGATCATGGATGTATTATTAAATAAAAATGGGCAAAGAAATGTTTTGGTCACATTTCTGTGGCATTTCGAAACTGCTACCCGGGACCCCAGACCTCAAAAGAAGAGACATTCCATTCCTCATGGTTCAGTCATATTTCTCCCCCCGTGTGCATCTTACATTTCCCCCACTGCAATCTTGATCATAGTGTAATGATTTTAGGTTGATAAAATTTTGTGAGTTTTTTTTTAAAAATTATTTTCCTTGTATTTTAAAATAGGAAAATTTTTTGTTTACAATCGGTTATACACTCTTAATTAAACTATTATCGGTCATACTTAGTGTAATTTGTAAGAATTTAAACAAAAAATTTGTAAATATCACACTTCCCTTCAAAATATTAAATATAGCTATCCTTTTATTTGAATAACTTCGCGACTGAAATTCTTGTTATTTTTCAGTTGATTATGTAACATTCTCTCTTGTTTTCATCATATATGTTTTATGTAAATTGGTTTTGTAAAATCTATAAAGTAATGCTAGAGAGATTATGCATTATATGTCGGCATAAATAATTAGGACATATTTAGTGTAGACCTAATAGTATAAAACATGATTCCTGTCACAAACTTCATCATTGTCATGTGTCCCTCCAATGGAGATTTAAAACTTGATCTAGAAAGCAAACCCTTCACACAAAATTAAATATTTCATTTCAAAATAACCTATAACACCCTAGTTGTCAAGAATAATATGTTTAAAAGAAGAATCAATCAAACCCCCAGTCATTGTATTTGCTACCAAGAGTATAAGACAAATAATCATACACTCCCTCTTTGGACCAAACCCCGATTTGGTCTCAAATATGTTTTAAATTCACGTAACGGCTCCCACATATTTTAAGATAATATTAGATTTTATTCATTAAAAGTGTAACCCCTTTATAGATAAAGAGTTAAATCTAAGTATACATTTCTGGAATTAGTCTCCTTTATTGCCATTGTGCGTACACCATCCTGTTTTGGCTTCTAGCCTCTCTCCTACACAACGATTTGTCACTCCTTGCATCAGTCTCTTCCATAAACTACACTAGCTCACAAATCCCACACTAATCACGATCCTACCAGATTAAACATTACTGTCATATGTGGGAATCAATAAATTTCAATTCTCATCTAACCATAGTGACACGTAACGCAAAGTCATAAGTCATAACAGCAGCATCCTCTGCCACCACCAAACCTTGATGTGCAAATGTTGAACAATTTGGGCGTTGATCAAGATGGAGATTCCATCTCAACCGGCCAGCCCGATCCGCAGGCTACTACCCACCAGCCTGATCTTGCCCAAGCGGTAGTAGCTGTTGGATATATGCTCTTTTGGTCACTAAAGTCCTATTGGGCTTAGTGAAACTTGAGCCCATGAGGCTTAGGGTTGAGTTATGTCTAAGACCTAAGCGTATATATTCATAGTTTTCTCCTCTTGTGCCTCCAAGGTGAATAAATCATCAGAAACAAACCCCAAGAGGCAGACGTTCATCATCTGAACGGTTGCCCACACAACCATCTCATCCTCCTCGAGAGATAGTCTGGAAGATCTGCCACAGTCTAGCTTCAAGGAGGTTGTTCGTGCTGCGGCGCTAAGGTGAGCTGTTCGTGAAGAGGAATCCTACAAGGGAAGATTCTACACGACACCTGCGCACCGAGAGGTAATTGTGAAACAAGGATGATTCGGTAAGCATACC